AAGTTTGGTCAGTGTACAGTATATAACCTCTCAACATTTTCAAGAAATAAATTAAACCATTATTTGGTTCTTTTATTCTGTCTTTATTTAGTCTTATATAATTGTTGAGGTCTCAATAACCAATGTTTTCAATGTTTTATATAATATGTTTGGAGTACACAAAACTTAAATGAAGGCTTTTTAGACACATGAACAGTGGGGTGAATCTCATGTGAACTATCAAGAAATGTCTGGGACATATTTCACCCCAAAATCAAAAGAAAATAAAAGAAAATTATAAAAAAATGAAAAAAATGAAGCTTTTTCTTAGGACCAATACAGTTTTTTTATTTATGATTATTTTCATAAATTGTTTTCATATCGATATTTATTTTAATCAAAATTTATTTTTACATTATAATAATATAATTATAATTTTTTTCACTTTATGATAATGACTTTTTTCACATTAAAGTAAGGAGATTTTTTTCTCACTTTTACGGTGATGATAATTATGAAGGAAAATTAATTGACCTGAAATTAATCGTCACAATACCAAAAATCCTCAAATGGCTTCAAATTCTTTCAGCAAAATATGTTTTTTTTTTTTTTATTGGGGTGGAATATAACCCTGAAATTTCTTTCCTGAGATTTACCCAGTTATGTACATGCACCATTGGTGGTGAGCCTTTGTTTCTGTGTAAGTGGAATACAGTACTACAGCATACTTCATTGTTCACAGAAATTAGTCCCACACTGCTGCTATTTTATGTAAATGTAACCGCTGTGGATCACTAATGTGTCACGTGGGCAGTAATGACGTACTGTTGTTGTTCTGTTTGTCAAGCTTACTCACTCTGTTACAGCAATGTGCAGTCCAGTGTATCCCCAGCCACAGCCTTTTGACCTTTCTGTGTGGCACACCCATTCACTCATGTCATGTGGTTGTTTCCCTCCAATCAGAGCGCTGTCCTTAAGCACAACACAGTAAACTTCGGCATGCTGTACTCTGGAGGCTATGCTGCACCGCATGCTTGTTCAGTGTACAGTATATAACCTCTCAACATTTTCAAGAAATAAATTAAACCATTATTTGGTTCTTTTATTCTGTCTTTATTTAGTCTTATATAATTGTTGAGGTCTCAATAACCAATGTTTTCAATGTTTTATATAATATGTTTGGAGTACACAAAACTTAAATGAAGGCTTTTTAGACACATGAACAGTGGGGTGAATCTCATGTGAACTATCAAGAAATGTCTGGGACATATTTCACCCCAAAATCAAAAGAAAATAAAAGAAAATTATATTCTGCCTAAAAAAATGAAGCTTTTTCTTAGGACCAATACAGTTTTTTTATTTATGATTATTTTCATAAAATGTTGGCATTGTTTTCATAAAATGTAATCAAACTGCCCCCTTTCTCAAAAAACATTATATTTAAGAGTAAAAAATAGTATTTTTTCACATTATGATAATGAGGGTTTTTTCCACATCAAAGTAATTTTTCTAACTTTTACGGTAATGATAATTATGAAGGAAAATTCATTGGCCCGAAAATAATAGTCACAATGCCAGAAATCCTCAAATTTCTTCAAATTCTTTCCGCAAAATATAATTTTTTCTCTTTTTTTCTTTTAAATTGGGGTGGAATTTGACCCTGACATTTCTTTCCTGAGATTCACCCAGTTACATGCCTTTGTTTCTGTGTAAGTGGATTACAGTACTACAGCACACTTCATTGTTCATGCAATTTAGTCCTACACTGCTGCTATTAATATTCTGTAAACGTAACCGCTGTGTATCACTAATGTGTCACATGGGCAGTAATGACGTTCTGTTGTTGTTCTGTTTGTCAAGCTTACTCACTCTGTTACAGCAATGTGCAGTCCAGTGTATCCCCAGCCACAGCCTTTTGACCTTTCTGTGTGGCACACCCATTCACTCATGTCATGTGGTTGTTTCCCTCCAATCAGAGCGCTGTCCTTAAGCACAACACAGTAAACTTCGGCATGCTGTACTCTGGAGGCTATGCTGCACCGCATGCCAGCAGAAGCATGACAATAAACTTTTACAATAACACAAAGCATGAAAACCAAACAACTCAGTGGCTACCTCTACCAAATGTGAGTATGAAGTAACTTCAGCCCCAGTTTCAGCATGAAGAAGTAAAACGTATATGAACATAACATCTCCTATGAAGATTTCTTTTTAGATCTCTCTTTTGAGCGGCTTCTGCTTTAACGTCTAAAACAGTGGTAATATAACATATACACTACAATAGCCTTTTTATAAGGCAGACCATCTAACACATTTCACAGTTTAACACTAATCTAACACTTCACCTGTTCTGAGTTCCAGGCTAGACACTGTCTCTCACTGTGATGTTAAACATATATAGGTGTTTTCTGTTGCATGTGCTCAGTCTTTGTGTTTGGTCTATGCACTGCAGTCTTCCTCTGTCTTGAACTCACAGAACAAAGCAATCTGTGACCGACAGTAGAGATGCGTTTATGAAAGGCCTTCTTGATCCTTTTAAAATTACACCAAATATCAAATTTAATCACTCATATTTAAACAGTCAGAAGTGAATTCACTAAATATTATTCTTAATATCTGTGTGCACAGTTCACCAACCTCTATTTACTCTATTCAGTATTTGTAATTTCTTTTAATGCAAACATGCTTTTTTGTAAATAAGTTTCAATTAGTTTAGTTAAATTAATTAGTTATAGTTTTATAGTTTTTAAGTGTTTTTTCTTCAAATAAGCTCAATATTTCTTTGATGCAATTAACGGCAATGAATATTTAAACAGATTTTGTGTAGAATTGTTATCATATTTCTTCATCAAATAATGATCACATATTGGAAGATCGTTTTAACTAGACATATATGCAGATATACTGTGTAGTTAAGCATTATTTCAGCTTTTTAAAGTTTCTGAATTGCAATGGTTGTGTAATTGGGTCAATTACAGTGGGCTGTGCTTGTTGAATAAAGTTATTCGAACAAACTCTAAGTAGGTTTAGAGTTGACAAAACCAAAAAAATAAAAAACCCACCTGGTTTAGATCAAGTTCAGCGGGCTCAAAATACTTGCTAAAAATGTTTTCTGTCAACTCAGGGATTGTCCAGAGTTTATCAATTCTGGGGAGTTAATTAAGTTTAAGAGATTGTTGTGAAAAAATTTTTGAATTTAAATGCATTTATAAGACTGAAAGAAATTCCACTGCCACGAAAGTTTGAGAGGACAGCTTAAAGAAAATATTTGAATGTATCAATGGAAGTGA